AAGAGTTGTGTCTTTGGATGAAAGAGAGATAAAGAAATGGCAGAACTGAAAAGCCTTAAATTTTTTCAATACTCTTTCTCCTTTTTACTGGATTAGACTATTTTGCCTCCATCTCCTTTGATGGGATGAGTACCAAACTCTCTGTCCATGCCTCGCCTTGAACAGCTTCAGGTTTTCTCCTTGATGGAAGTTTCTGTGTAGTTCCGCACAAATTTCAAGTATTACACCAATACAGCATCATGAAAAATATGGCACCTTGTCCCTCTAATTTGGGGGGGAACTTTAACTCCCTACTCTCTCCATCGTAGATGTGTACATTTCCTCAGGCCGTGCAGGAGTTTGCCTGCAATCCTTCCTTGCCAACAAGTCTCTGCACGACTTGGAAACAGTAATTTGCAAGGTCATAGTTTCTCAGGCTGGTCATCTTCTGAAAACCTTCTAGAGGTATTTTTACCAATGAATCAGTTAGCTCTGGTGCATTAAATAATGTACAGGTGACTTATCAAAACCGTTTTCTGATTGTCTGTGTCGTTTGAACAGCGTGTGACCCGTTTGTGCTAGCTGCAGTTAGCCATTACGATGTTCTCTGTAATGTCTGTCTTGCTGTGCACAATCTCTGGGTAGATGAGCTCCTTCAAAACCCTTCTGTGCAGCTTTAAGATAGCGTTACCATCAGCAGTCTTCGTTGCCGGTAATTGCCAGTGCCAGAGTAGAGTAAGCTGAAAGGGAAAAAAAAAAAATCTACCTGCTTGTCTGACACTTCTGTGCAAAATAGGACCTTTCGGGTTAAATCGCTTTTGATGGCCGAGCCTTAAAATGACTGAGTTTTTATTGAAACGCTTGAGGTATTGGCTCGCGGTTCTCTGTAAAATGAGTTGTGGGCACAGTAATCTGCCTGCTCAGCTGCACTGCCGGGCTGGGGGGGGGGAAGCCTTTCCACAGAGCTGCAGCAGGATTGCTGCTGATGCTGCTCAGCACCCTGAGTATACGTGTAACACCACTCTTGAGTTGTCCCACAAGGTGCCTTTTGATCATCTTACAGACTGTTGGCTGTGTCATGAGATTAAGCTGACGCGGTGTTTGGAGCTTCTGTGACTTAGTGACGAGATTTT